ACACACACACACACACACACACTCAAAAGAAATTTTTCACCATCAGTCCCTTGTTTATCAGCTTTATTCGCAGTGAATCATGGTTGCAGTGGCTCAAAAGACGGTGTTTCGCCTCACAGAGACGTACTTAGGGCCTAATCGTAAATTCCCTCAGGACAAGACAGGAAGACAAAGAGGTGGTGGATCAGAGCTCACCTCTGGAGCTGTAAAACATCTGTCTGGTTTGGAAAACTCCTGCAGCTCGGCTGTTGTTGGTTTTCAGCTAATGTAGGACACATCATGGCTCTGCTGGATTCATGTCTGACCTCCAGAACCTCATCAGCATTAAGCTAGTTGTAATTTTGAAGGAAGCTTCCAAATGCGTACACATATTCAGTCGGCTTGGACTTAGTGTAGCACATTCTCACAGATGATAAAACATCAGTGAGAGTATATACTGTATTGACAGTCACCTTCACACAGACAACTCCTGAGTTTCTCTTTCTGCTCCTACAGAGTTCTTTCCTCATTAATAGCCTGGCCCCAAACCTTTTTAAATGAGTGTCACCCACCCCCTTAGGCATCAGTGACAATACATCAAGATAGAGGGATAGTGGAGGTGTGAAAATAGACTACAGCCATTGGTGTGACACATGAAATAACTGGCAGTAATCACTGGGACACCCAGCCCCTGCCTGTTCTGTTGTAAACTATCAGAGTCAATGATTGAGGCAAACAGTGCTGAGCCGGGTGAAAATGAGGTAAGATTAGGCTTCTTTCTCACACACAGTTTTATATCTCCAATTACCCTCAAGTGCTTTTCTTGCATCTTTATGTGGCCCAGGCGAGGCAGGGGTGCCCGTAGGTGCTGCAACCATCGCACCTGTACCTCCTGGTGAGGTTCCATTATGCTGCCTTCCCTAAGCAGGGCCGAGCAGCAGGGGAGACAGATGGGAGGAGGGTCAAGTTACCCCTGTTGCTGCTGTTGCTATAGCACAGTTGGGTCAGGGTCAGAAAGCCCATGGTAACAGCACTATCATGTCAGCACACAGACACACACCCACACCTGCTACTGCACAAAGTTTGAGGTTGCACAATTACTGTATGTTGTTGAGAGAGAGAGAGAGAGAAACGCAACAAAAGATGTGTAAAATTTCAAATTGATTTAATGAAATGTTTTAATTTTCACATTTCTAATAAAGATAGCAGGACTCCGGTCATTAAAAACAGTTTGATATGTTGACAAGTAATGATGAAATCTTCAAGCTTTTTTCCTCTTTCACTTATACAAAGATTATATTACAGGCATTAATATATTTATATTGGGAGGATGGTGCAACCCTCTAATTTGACACAATGTACAAGGATTTCTGAAATGAGAAGAAAAAATAACAAGTAGGACTAACACTAGCTCATTTTCTTCACATATATAAGACACACAATCCTTATCTTGGTCCAGACTAACATCTCTAGCTACTAAGCCACCAAAAGGGGGAGAACAAACCCCGTAATCATCTATAAGCTACAAACTTTATATGAGCATCCTGGAGTGGTGCCTTCAAGTGGCTTTGGGGGAAATGTGATCCAGGAATACAGAGTTAGACATTCTTAAAAAAAAAAAGAAAAGATTTAACTCTCACTCCCTCCACCCTCCTGCTGTTTGGATTCCCTGCTCAGGGAATGAACAAACAAAAGAAGGCCAGGCGGCTGAGAGGAGCAAGGAAAATGACCGGAGAGCATGGTGAAAGTAAGGCAGAGTAGTGCAACAGATGGGGATAGTGTTGTGGCTTGGGTGGAGCTGTCAGAGGGTGTGAGTGTACAGTGCATGTGTGTGTGTGTGTTTGTGTGTGTGTGTGTGTGTGTGGGGGGGGAGACACCTGGCTACCATGACAACCTGAGCAGGGCAGGTTGGAAGAGTGACAGTCCGGCCTGGCTGTTGCTAGGAGGGCAGTTAAGAGTTTAGCTCTGGCAGACCACTTAAACCCAGCCCCCTACATGATCCCATTCACGGAACAAAACTGAGCAGTACACTGCCCTAAGACTATGAAGACTAAAAACAGAGAACTCCACCATTTCAAATCCATCTGTTCTAGTTGTTTTTATTGCAACACATGACATTGACTTTTAGAGACGCAGGGGAGGAAAACACTTTTGTAGACAGCTAACGAAAAGATCTGACGCAGGGCGGCCGTGGGTCGTCTCACAATGAAGAGCGGGAACTAAAATATGATTGGGGGAGCGGAGCTGGTGTGGGACAGCATCTTAGAGGATAGACGTTACACAGGCACTGTGAGAAGCTCCCTCAGAAACTCACACACACACACACACACACACACACACACATAAGAACCACCCCAG